TCCATGGTTAGAGTATAGCATAAAAAATAAGAAGGCATATTGTTTTTGTTGCTAATTGTTTGGAGATATGGTAGGAGAACAAGATGGAAGAGATGCATTTATAACTGAAGGCTTTGACAATTGTAGTAAAAAAGGCTCATTCCAGAAACATATGAGTAATATTCAAAGTTATCACCATAAGGTCCAAGAAAAATGTGATTTGCTATTAAGAAAAAACCAATCTATTGGTGGAGTCTTGCATAAGAAAACAAAACTTGAGAGAAGTAATTATGAAATTCGATTACATGATACAATCTGTGGTTGTAGATTTTTATTGAAAAATGCATTACCATTTCGTGGATATGATGAGATGGAAAAGTCTAATTATAAAGGACTTTTCATTGAAGTCTTATCTTTGATTAGAGAAGATAACGAGAAGATTTTTAAAATTACTTTAGAAAATGCTCCAAAAAAATGAAAATTTGACTTCTCCCATGTTTCAAAAAGATATTGTCGATTACTTTTCAAAAGAGATAATCAAGTCTATTTGTTCACGTGTTGGATACATCTTCTTTGACTCTTAAAGCCGCCATTGATACCGTATTTCACAATAATAACTTGAGTATGGCTCAGGTGAGAGATCATAAAATATTTATTCCTTTAAATTTTAATATGATATTAGTTTTATTTTATTTCTTATAGTTTTTTATTAATTTTTTTTAGATATATAGGTGATGGGACAATGTTATAATGGAGCAAGTAATATGAGTGATGCATTCAATGGTTTGAAATCTTCGATTTTAAATGAAAACAATTTTGCACAATATATGCATTGTTTTGCACACCAACTTCAATTAGTAGTTGTGGCAGTTGCAAAGAAACATGATGATGTTGATGAATTCTTTGAGCAACTAGCTTTGGTGGTTACTGTCATTTGTGAGTCTTATAAGAGAAAATATATGATACGAGAGATGAAAAAAGAAATAGTAGAGCTGAAATTGGTATTGGTGAAACTGAACCAGGAAAAGTGTTGAATCAAGAGATTTCTCTTGTTCGAGATGGAGATACTAAATGGGGTTCACATTTTAGAACACTTGTAAGTTTGGTGAATTTGTTTGCAGAAGTTGTTGCGGTACTTATATATGTCAAAGAGAAGGGTCTACTTTATCTAACCATAATCAAGCAAAGAATATTTTGTCATATTTCAAGACATTTGATTTCGTGTTTCTTTTACACTTGATGTTTGAAATTCTATGCCTCACCGATACCTTAGCAAAGCATCTTCAAAAAAAGATCAAAATATGTTGGAAGCGATTTCGTTAGTAAAATGGACAAAGAAAGCATTGCTAGTTTTTAGAAAAGATGGGTTTCCACAAATTTAGAAAAAGGTATGTGCTTTCTGTGAAAAAGCATAGTATTGGAATTGTGGACATGTTGGAATATTATGTTACCCCATGCAAGCGTAGGACCAATAAGACTAAATACATCATTTTGAAGTTGTGATTTTTAACACAATTTTAGATATGCATTTTCAAGAATTTAGGGATAGATTTAGTGAAGTTGGCTCGGAGTTGATGGAGAACATGGCGGATTTGAGTCATTGTGACTCATTTTCTAGTTTTGATAAAACAAAGTTGTTAAATCTAAGCGAGATATACAAAAACAATTTTGACGACTCAGAAAGGGCGCAACATAATGGGCAACTTGATATCTATTATCACTATTTGCTCCATGATGAGAGATTTTCAACTTGAAGAGAATTGCAGACCTCTCTCGTTTGTTGGTGGAAACCGGGAAGCACCTATTTTTTCCTTTGGTTTATAGATTATTAAAAGTAGTTTTGGTTTTGCCCATCGCAACCACAGTCGTTGAACGATGTTTTTCTGCAATGAAGTTCTTAAGACCGATTTACGTAATAGAATAGGTAACGATTTTATGAATGATGTTTTGATTTGTAGTTTAGAAAAAGGAAGCACTATAGAATGTTAAGACTAAAAATGTAATTACTCGCTTTCGTAAAATGAAAGATCGAAGAGGTGAACTTTAAAACGTAACTTTTTATGGAAGTTGAACTTTATATCTAATGAAATTGCGGTTTTTATTTTATTTTTTTCTTAGTGTATATTACACAAAATAATAATAATAATAAATTTGGATACCCCTTTATTTTGACCCTGACTTTATCACTAGCCCACTTTAAACATTCCAAATGATCAATATGCAAATCGTAGTTACATGCAATTGATATCATCTCATATCCAAAAACCTCTGTTCCTCAATTTTCATACCACCCAAAATACTATCAACAACAATGACCACAACAATTCAATCAACCCCAATTTCCATGTCTTTCAACAACATTCTCAACGATTTCAACCATGATATTCTCAACCTCAACCATTTCACACACAACTTTCACAACCATCTCAAGTCCCTTATCTCAATCCCAACCTATAAACCTCGACAACGATGACGAACGGATCCAATAAGTACAACAACCAACTCGAAGAAGGCAAAAAAAGGAAAAGAACCAAAATGAGAGAGAAAGAAAGAGAGAGAGAGAGAGAGAGAGTGAGCGAGCGAGCGAGTGAGTGAGTGAGTGAGAGAGAGTGTATGTGTGAGAGTGAGAGAGAGAGAGAGAGAGAACTATGCAATGGACCGAAGCAGAGGAAGAAGCTTTAGCGAAAAATAGATTTTCATATCGTAATACGGTAACATGGGGAAGTCGCAATCGGGTCAATATTTTTGGAATTATGTTGTAGACGACTTTCATGCGCTATTAGGAAGGGAAACAGAGCAGAGATACGATTCAGTCAATGCAAGATTGCATGAACTATGAGCGGCTTGTACGAAATTTAACGATATATGTTAACAATCTTAAAAATATGCATCAAAGTGGTAGCAACGATTTTAATATTTTATCAACCTAATGCTACCAATACAAAATTATCAATAATGGTAAACTATTCGACAATGAAAAAGCGTGGGAAGTTTGTCGTAACGATCCAAAATTGATCCTTTATCAGAAGACGATGCATTCTGGATCTAACGTCGGATCCAACAAAAGGTCAATAACTCCAGAGTCCGACATGGGTTTTAGCCTTGACCTCAATAATGAGTTTGACAAATCCAAGGGGGAGGGTCCACTGGAAGTCCAACTTCATCGACCACTGGGAAGAGACAAATCGAGAAAGGCGTAGTCTTCAAGCGGAAAAGCGTTTTGCGAAGTTGTACTTACGGAAAAAATAGACATGGCTCTAATTTTTCTAGAAAAAAAACTTTGAATCAACGGAGGAAGCTCGTCGCCGAAAAATAACATATAGCGATCTTCAAATTTTAAACACGAAGTCGCAACCGGATCTCAACCCGGAAAATTTATCCGCGTTTATAAAAATCCAACAATAAGTTTGCGAAAAATATGAAAATTATGTTCTAGTGTTCTAATATTTAAGTTTTATTTTTTATGATTTTTTAGTAATTTAGGTTTAATTTTTTATGTTTTTATGTTTTTTTAGTAATTTAGGTTTTAAATTTCTATGTTTTTTAATCAATATGATGTGTTTTTTAATTAATGTAAAATATTTATTTATGTTTTTTATTTAATTTAATGTCAAAAAAATAAAAAATAAAAAAATAAATATTGTGAAGTGGTAACCATTTCCAAAGACTAATGGTTGGTGATGAATTTGTAGTAGAGTTGACGTGGCGCCGAATCGACAACATTTTTTGAGTTAGTTAAGAGTGACAACTCTCTATATCCTAAGAAACGATACTCTACTAATCAAATTTTAAAAAATCGGTTTTAAATAGAATGCGATTGATTTTCGGTTCAAAAGGTTTGACTGCCAGATCAATCAAAATATATTAAAAAACATACAATCAAAAATTTTACATTATATATATATATATATATATATATATATATATATATATATATATATATATATATATATATATATATATATGGGGAAAGTGAATATACCTAACAACCTTATATAAGTTTAGGTACCTAACCACATCATACTACGTAATTTTTGTATCATATTTGCATTGTTATCACCCAATGTTCTTAAAATTCAACCTCATAACTTGATTGTTTCCAAAATCTTTGGACTTTCACCATTATCTTCCTTCAAATGACGTTTTTTCTATCGGAGACCCCCTGATGGGCTTCATATACTACCCTTACAAAGCAAATGGTGTAGGAGGAATATAATGGTGAATGTCTGAAAATCTTGGAAGTAAATCAAGTTAAAGGTTGAAGTTTAAGAACCTTAGACCATTGCATTGGAAATATAATGCAAAACAATATAGTATAATGTGGTTAGGTACCTAAGCTTATATAAGGTTGTTAGGTATATTCACTTTTCCATATATATATATATATATATATATATATATATATATATATATATATATATATATATATATATATATATATATATATATTAAAAAGGGACCAAGGTAAGGAATAATGAACATTAGGTTTTTTTCCCTCCGTTTCTACCTGTGTTTCCTATTTTGGAATGGGATGTATTTTGTGAGCTATTTGCCATTTTTTCAGACTTTGTTATTTTTACTCTTCTACTTTTGCCAAGTGTTTCGTGTATGTTTTGTTTTCCGTTTTCGTATCCAATTATGGTTTTACTGATATATTTGTTTTATTAATTTTTTTTATTATTGTTTTTTTTTTTTAATGTTTCACACGATTCCTTTTTCTCTCTCTTTTTGACTTATCATTATTTTTTTCTTTCGTTTGTTATGTTCCTTTCTGTGAGCACAAAGTAAGATCTCCCCATTGTCTTCTACGTTTTCCTTTTTCGGATTCATCTGTTTTTTCCCCTTTTTTGTGTGCTTTTTTTGGTTTTGTTTTTTTTCTTTTTTTTTTTCTTTTTGTTATGTATGCTCAACTTAAGCGGGAGTATGTTGTTGTTGGTTCGTTGTCTTCAGGGGTTGAACTTGCTTCTTCTTCGGCTCTTGCTGTTGCACCCGATTTTCGGCGTCCTTGACCCTCCCCACGAATGCATTCCACTGGTGTTCTTCCAAATTATCTTGATTTTGGTGATTGTGATTGTGTCTGCGAATATTGTGGTTCCTATTTTTGGTTTGTTCAAAGGACATTGGAACTGTCTACAACTCATCATCCTAGATATGGTTGTTGTTGCAAGTCTGGTGATGTTATCCTTACTTATCCTTCTACGTTTCCGCCCGAATATGTTGCGCTTTTTCATACTGATCGTTTTTTTAGGGATATTAGAGCTTATAATAATAGTATGTTTGCTATGACATCTTTTGGAGCTAATGTGGATAAGGAAATAAATGATGGTCGTGGTCCGTATATGTTTAAGGTTTCGGGGTAGATTAGTCATAAAATTGGTTCACTCTGTCCCGATGCTATCAAGGGGCCTAGGTTTCTTCAGTTGTATCTATTTGATGCTGATAATGAGGTGAGCAACATGTTTACTGCTTTTCTGAATCGTAAAAGAATTAATTTTGATGAGAATATACATAGGTTTCTGGTGATGTTTTTCAAGGACAACAACGAATATGTGTGTACATTTAAAACTGCGAAACAGCTAGCTATTGAGATGAATATACCATCATATCCTGTTCATTTGTTTAATGATATTTCTGACCATAGGTATGCTTTGCCTTCGACTGGATCCTTGGTTTGCATTGTCACCGGTGTCGATACTAGTACTACACGTTATGATATTGTTGTTCACTCCAATTCCGGTTTCCCCCAACGTATTAGTAAGCTTCATCCTACCTATATGACTCTACAATATCCTATTTTATTTCTATATGGTGAGCCGGGTTGGTCTCCACGTTTGAAATTGGGTAATCTGACTGGTGCAGACGCAAGGAATCTTACCGTTAATATATATTATGCTTATCATATTCATTGTCGTCGACAAATATGGTCGACGATTTCGAAATTTGTCTCGACTCTTTCAGCAGTATTTAGTAGATGCATATACCTGTATTGAGGAGGGAAGGCTCGAATATATTGCAACACATCAAGACAACCTTCGTTTAGAATATGTTGGAGGTCTATATGATGCTCTTTCAAAGGGTGATAGACAATCTCAGTTTGTCGGGAAACACATTTTCCTACCACCATGTTTCACGGGAGTTCCTCGCTATATGTATAGCCATTATCAAGATGCTCTCGCTATTTGTAAGGTGTATGGCAATCCACAATATTTCATTACATTTACGTGCAATGTCAAACGGCCAGAGATTACACGTTACATGGATACGTATGGTTAGACAGACCCACACAGTCAGGCATATATCATTGCAAGAGTTTTTAAGATAAAGGTTCAGTCATTCATACAATTTTTAAAGGAATGCAAGCCTTTTGGAGAAATTGATGCATGCATGTTTCTTTTTCCTTATTGGATACTTTGTTAGTAAGTATTTGGTGGCATTAGATTTTTGTGTCCATTATTTCAATAAAATGCATTGTGTATATTTGAGCTAAAGTTCACCCCTATGGTGTCCTTTATATATGTATTATGTTTTTTTTTCTACCCTTTGATTTGTGTTTGTGATTACTGTTGTTTAATAATTGTTGTCTGTCTGCACTTTTCTATTCCATATGTCTGCATAAATTTTTTAATTTTCTTTATTCTTATCTATTTATGTTATTGTCTGTTTTTTTTTTTTTTTGTTATATGGTTTAGTTTTGGATTCTGTTTAATATATAACATATTTACTTCTTCCTATAGATTTGTACACAATAGAATTTCAGAAAATATGTCTACCCCATTGTCACATTTTGATTTGGGTAAACAGTGCATATAGGATCAAGAAGCTGGAAGAGGTGGATACATATATTACCGCTGAACTGACGGACCCTTTGATGGAACCTCCGCTCTACGCGGTAATAACAACGTGTATGATTCATGGTTCATGCGGTCCACTAAATGAAAAGGATCCATGTATAAAGGATGGAAAATGTAACAAACATTTCCCGAAGCCCTTTCTTGACTACCCTTTTCGATACTAATGGTTATGTCCGTTACAAACGTGGATCATCTGCCCGACACACAACACCACGAGGAGTGATCATAGGCAACGAATATGTTGTCCCCTATAACAAAAGAATTTGTTCTCGATTTGAAGCCCACATTAATGTTGAATATCGTGGTTGGAACATGATGATCAAATACATGTTCAAGTATATTTCAAAAGGGGTAGATCGTGTGAGGTATGCGATTTAGAAGAGTGAAGAGACAGATGACGCTGGACCGAGTGATTAGATGAATGGAGGATTACCTGCTGCACCGACAGTTGGTTGGTGTGTTAATGAGATCCAAAAGAAATTTGATGGAAGATACATATGTCCCCATGAGGCAGCGTGGCGAATATTTGATTTTCATATTCATCACCGATATCCACTAGTCCAGATTCTAGTGGTCCATGAAGAGAATACGTAGCAGATTGTGTTTAAAGAGAACAACACAATAGAAGAAGTTCTCCGTAGTCCTTTTTCTACAAGGAAAACACTTCTTGCATGGTTTGATAGTAATGCAAGAGGCCGAACAAGTCACAACCTCACATATATTGATTATCCAAAACACTACAAGTGGGATGCTCCATCCAAAACATGGGATCGAAGAGCAGATGATTCATCAAAGATGGTTAGCCGGCTTGTATTTGTTCATCCATCTTCTAGGGAATTGTTTTACCTTCGAATGTTGCGGTGTCATCAAAAATCCTACACGTCTTTTGAAGACCTGCGTACCGTATTCGGCCGCCTATATCCAACCTTCAGAGCTGCCTGTAATGCATTAGGAATAATAGGGGACGACATCGAGTGAATATGTGACATCCCCATTTTCATGGCCAGAAAATATCGATTTTGTTTATGCTTTGTAAAAATCATAGTACTTCTTTTGATAAAATGTTGCGGTATTTGTTCCCAGAAAAACATGATAAATACGTTATCAAAGCATTTCCGAATAAATATATTTTTATTTATTTTAAAACATTTGGGATGTCATTGTCAATACATAAACATAAGCATAAACAGAACTTACATTCATTTACACTAGTGATCTATATCTCTTTAATCTCTAATTGTAATGTAACTTCATATCGACACATGTGATACAAATAAGCTTGAGTAGGCCAGGTTGGGAAACCTGTTGAGTACATACGGATTTCAATCCCACAATGTTATATCATATATATAATTTAAAACACACAAAATATACAATTTCACTATATATATATATATATATATATATATATATATATATATATATATATATATATATATAAGCAACTCTTACCCCACCCCATTAATCCTTACAACGAGACTATCCATACTCTCGGACCTTAAATTTTACCTCTTACTTAACCCATACTCTCGGATCTAATTCAAGCTCTTGGATCAATATTCGTACCCATTCCATACTCTCGAATTACGGACAAGTGTCTATGTGTAAATCCATTCTCCCGGATTAACGACGAATAATTATGTCCTATCCATACTCTCGGACTGAGGACGACTGACAATGTTTTAATCCATACTCCCGGACTAAGGATGAGTGAATATGTCTTAATCCATACTCCCGGACTAAGGACAACTGACTATGTCTTAATCCATACTCCCGGACTAAGCATAACTGACTATGTCCTAATCCATACTCACGGACTAAGGGCAACCGACTATGTCTTAATCCATACTCCCAGATTAAGGATAATTGACTATGTCTTAATCCATACTTCCAGATTAACGATAATTGACTAAGTCCAATCCATACTCTCAGAATAGGGACGAATGACTATGTCTAATCCGTGCTTCCGGATCAATGACATGTTTAAGGGTTCTATTCCCCGTGTATATCTCACTCGTACTCATAAGGAGATACTACCCAATAACCCCCATAACAAATTTTAGGTTTACTCATTAACCTAAATCATTATAAATAACCATGTATGTTCTTTAACTTGTAATTCAGACAACATCAAGTAACTCACACATAAACATATATTTAATACATTCATACAATACTTGTATTTAAATCATGTTCATGAAAGGGACTATGCACTCACACATAAGCTCTTTAACAAATATTTAACTCTTTAACAGATATTTAATACTTTAATTAATATTTGTATTAAAATCATGTTCATGAAAGGGGCTATGCACTCACACATAAACTCTTTAACAAATATTTAACTCTTTAACAAATATTTAATACTTTAATTAATACTTGTATTAAAGTCATGTTCATGAAAGGGACTATGGACTCACATATAAACTCCTTAACAGATACTTAATACATTAATTAATACTTGTATCAAAATCATGTTCATGAAAGGGATTATGCACTCACATATAAACTCCTTAACATATACTTAATACATTAATTAATACTTATATTAAAATCATGTTCATGAAAGGGACTATGCAGTCACCTGTTAAGGTGGTGACTCTGTACTCGGACAACGCTTCGTTTACTCAAAACAATTTTCCTTCGACGAAACCTAGTATCATTACCACTAGAGTTTAGTCTAATGTTCAACGAGAATAATTAATAGTCTAACTATTATTAATTTTATACAAACGTTAAACAATACTCTTCACCCACTATGTACAGACAGGGGTTAGACATGAAACAACGGAGGGCAGGATCATTTGGCATATAACACTTCTAAATCCAGGAACCCAAGCGGCCCTTCAAACCGGATTCCCCAAACCGCGAGTGGTTAAAAAAATATTATAACGACACTTATATAACTCATAATAATAGCCCAAATACTCATTATAAGGTCATAATAACATTACTATAATAAAAGCTATATTAAAAATAGGGTAGACGTAACTGAATTACAACGAGTTTTTCTCAAAACCGGACTCCGCCGAAGCAGAGTTTCTGTGCCGAAGGCTCTTCTTTTCGGAGCCGTCGGGCGCTCCGGGCAGGGCCGGTCCTAAGGTTTTCTATGCCCAGGGCAAAGAGAATAATTAGTGCTCCTATGTTTGCACCATATAACAAAAACTAAACAAGTAGAACATCAGTTTCTAAAGCAGAGTCAACAACTAATAGGATGAAGAATAAAGAGTGGAACTATAGTAAGGTGAATTAAATATTTTAGGCCCTTAACCATTCCCTTGGTTTGCTTTAGCAAAAACACTAACGTATTTGGATTTTAACATTTAACTCACTGTCACGCATGTCACCTATCTCATGTGAGAACTTACTGTAGAGAAGGAACATAAATGCATCTAAAAAATCCTACAATTAACTATCCAAATTTTTATTGTTATAGAAAAGTCTCTACTTTCTAAGGCAAATTAAGCCCTGTGATGTTGAAATCAGAAAGGATTTGAAGAAGGGTACAC